AGTTAATGGATAACCTCAAGAGGTAAAATGAATTAATTCTCTTAAAACACATTAATGAAAAAAAAATTTGTTTTTTATTCATTCTTTATTATCCACTTATATCTTAAATTACTTCTTTTTTAAAAATAATTTTTATGAAATGAATTATTATTTGTAATACTTTTGATATAAAAGGGGTTATAACTAAATAGTTCTTAAACAAAATTAATTAACCAAAGAGAGGAACAAGAAGTATTAATCATTTACTTCTCTTTGAATAATTGAATGAATTCCAATAAAAAATTTTTGTTATTCTGAAAATGTTAAATAAATATTTTGAGAAACTAAAAAATTATTATTTTGTTTTAAATAACACTAAAAGTATTTGTTTTAATAAATAAAATTTTATAAAAAGAAAACTTGAAAATAAAAAAAAGTAAAAATGATTGGAAGAACGAAAACTCGACCTTCTCTTCAGAACTCAAAGAGAGATCCTCATTCATTGAAAAGCATAAGAGAAAAGGCACATCAAAAAAACAGCAAATGTGAGGTTATTGGACTACAAACTTTTTTTTATGACGAAGATAATGAACGACTAAGACAAAAGAAATTAGAATATCTCTTTAGTCAATTAATTCGTTATGTACCACAATTTAATAAAGAAGCACAAAGTGCATTGGAACATATGTTACAAAGTGTACTTTATGCTATGAAATATGAACCTACATTAAGAATAGGTTTTGAGCCTTGTCAATACGATTCTGTAATTAATACAACTATGATAACAGAAATGCAAAAAATTATTCAATCACAAGAAGAAATAATTGGTAAATTAACAGAGTTAACTGAACGTTTCAACAAATCACGTCTGACTCGATTTAGTGTCAGTGCACCAAGCTGTGATCTTTCTGCTATTGGAAATGAATCTCTTGTTGATACACAAATTAAAATACCTGATATACTTGATTATTGTTCACAATATATGATGACTACAAATCATGTTCTTGATTATGTTGCTAATGCAAATGCTCAATTAGATAGAACAATAATTACTTCAGGTGATTTTACTGTGTATGAAGATCTTTTAAATGCAATTAATTAATAAATTACTATAATTAAATTATAGTTTTGTTATTTAGAAATTTTCCAAAGATACAACTTGAAAGTTATAATGAAAAAATCTATTACTCTTAAACCTTCTTGTTTACCACATAAATCTTCTAACTCAATAATTATTGATACTCATAAAATGATTAAAGCAATAAATTCAAATGACCCTCAATTTGTTGTATTAAAAGAAGCAGCTATTAAATATAATTGTGTGTTATTATTACCACCTGCTTCATTAATAAAAGACTTAGCAATAACACCAAACCTATTAGCCAGTCATTTAATTCTTCTTGATACATCTCATAAGTTTATTACATTATCTTATGTTCCTGGTACAATTCAAGATTCTATTATTCGTATTTACCAACCAATTCCATACTCAACATTTTACCCAAGATTATTAGAAGAGGCAGAACAAATGATAAGAAATACCACCTCTAATAACTGTGTTTTAGTAGAATCTGTTGATTCATTATATTTTGGAGAGTACCATTTAACAATGTTACATATAAGTGATGTAATAGTATATCAAGGGTGTGAATGGAAATGGAAACAATGTTCAATATATGATAATAACGAATATCAAATAGAATTATTTTTCCAACAAAAAATTGAATTCTTAAATAAAGAAATTACATCAATGAAAATGGATATTAGACAACAAACAAGAAATATTTTAAATGAAGAAATTGTCATTTTTAAAATTATTAATTTAGATAATTCATTACTAAAACAAATTGAAACATTTGTATTAAAGTTTCCTCTTATAGTCAAAGGAATTTCACTTGAAGAACGTGAAACGATTATTAGTCAATATTGTAATGAATTTTGTGATAAAATAAGAAAAGATCAAATATACTGTGTAATGAATAATATTAGATTAAAGAGTGTTATAAAAAGAATGATAATAACTCGATTATATCCATATTTATGGCAACCCTCTATTTCAGTATTAGAAGGAACAACAATAAATTCTATGATGATGGATTTAAGTATAAAAGAAATTATGAAACTTCATAATTTTGTAAGTTTAAAACAACTTGGATTAAGGTTTGTTATTATAATTTAAAAAAATTAAAGTATTCTATTACGTTAACACTCACTCCTTAAAGCAATAAAAATATTCCTTTATTTTCTGAAATGATTGAATATATTAAAGAGATAGACAGTTTAAGATGTCCAAATGATAAATTACAATACTTAAATGGAATAATATTAATGGTTGAACAAATATGTAAATTTCTTTATACTCCTAATGACGTAGATACTCTTTTAAAATTTATTATTATTAAATCTCAAATGCCACACCTTGCATCTACTTTACGTTACATCGAAGTATACAGTGATAAAGAAAATAAGAAATATATATTAAATACCTTTAATAAAGTTTTAGAGTTTTGTTCTAGTCTTTGTCAAAAATCTTTGCTTATTGATGAGCAAACATATGATGAAGAAATTCAAAGAGTATCAAGTGTAAAAGAAATTAAAGTAGATTGCGGTCCACTTGCATTAACTGATGTTCAAATTCTAGGATTACTTGATCTTACAACAACTGAACAACCTATTCAACTTGATGTTGTTCTTAAAAAAAATCCAGAAGATATTAGACAAGAAGATATTCCAATTCTTATTCATTTATTAAAACAGTTTAATGAAGAAAATATTGAACTGAAGAAGAAGCTGATTGCTGCTAATGAATAATAAAATAAATATAATATTAGTTCTACTATTATCTTTTGGTTTTATAATTAATAGTTTTCCTTTAGGTAGTTATTTCTATTTGAAATGAATATGAGATTATTTCCACCAATTTTCTTGAAAGATAGAATTGAGAAGAATAAATCATTAATTAATTAAGTTTTAGTAAAACTTGACTTTTTCTGTTTTGTTTTATTTATTTGAGACTGATTTGTTCATTTTATTGAATTAATTATTCTATTTATTGGAATTACTTTTAATTTGGTTTATTATTTTATTTTAGTGATTTCCATCAATTTCTACTTTATTATTAATATAGATTTATCTTTTTATCACTTCTATTTATAATTTATTATTCATACTTGTTTTGCCTTTTATATAAATATCTGGTTGTTTATGAAAATGTATGCTTTTATTAGTTATTTTAAGTTTAAATATGCTGTTTATTTCTTTATTTTATATTCTTATTTTGATTCTAGTTATTTCATTTCATTTTATTCTATTCTCTATTTCTTTATCATTCATTATATTTATTTTATATTTTAATTTAGTTATTCTCATTGTATATATTTATTAAATCACGGTTATCAATTTGTACATTCTTATTACAATACAATTTAATGATATATGTTCAATTGTTGTTATTTATCATTATGAATACTCTATCATTTTAATTTATCATTTCATGTAATTAATAATTTCTTAATTCATATAAATGTACTATTTTCTTCCATTAATTTTAATTATTTATATTCGTTTCATTTTATATTAATATCCTTTATTATTTTATTTGTTAACTCATATCATGTTATTTTTATAATATCAATATTATTTCTGAATAACTATTTATTTATTCTCATGATAGTATTGATTAAACATTCTACTTGAATAATAATAATTGTGTGTATAGTAAATAATTTTCTTTTTATTATAATTAGGTTTATTTAAGAATGTTTTACGGTATTTATTTTATTGATATATCTATAATTGTCATATTATTGATAATATATTTAAATATATTCTTGATATAAATTGTTTTTATTGTATTTCTATACTATAGAAAAGAAGAACATAATAAAATATAAATTAATGATAATAAATAAAACTAATAAAGATGTTATATTTTATCATTATGTCCTGTTGTTTTGTTTATATTATTATTTATTATTATTCATTTATTTTTTTGTATTAATAATTTATTCATTTCAATTACAATGAATCTTTTTGGTGTTAAATTATAAGGACATGAATTTACACAAAATCTATTTATTATTCCTTTATATTCTCCATGGGTTCATGTTTACAATTTGATTTTGTTTTATTATTTTCTTTATAAACAATAATATCATTTCCATATCCAAATACAAACAAACAATTGATTGATTAAATAAATAAAATGCATGTTGTTGTTCTCTAATATCAAATTTCATCATTCCTTTTATTATTCCCTTTAATTCTAATGAAAATAAAAATGTATATATATTTATTTATTTATATTTATATATTTATATAACTACTAACTTTATCAATTTTCACATTAACATACCCTCTAAATTTATTCCTATTTTCATTTCAATAATAATTATTATGTTTTCTTTATTTATTATTCTTTGATCAAATACTAATGTATCTTTATTTCAATTATCAATACCTAAATCAAAAAGGATAATATTATCTCCAATATTCATTTCTTCAATATAAATGATTGTATTAATTATTTCATTCCGTGTTTTACTTAGTATTTCTTCATCATTATTACATCTTCTATTATTTTGTTCATTTGATTCTTTATTATTTCTATTGTGTTAATTGTTTCTTGACTTTTTTCTATTATTAGTTTTCTTCTTCTTTCTGTTTCATCCATTCTATCAATTATTCCTTCTCCTCTTTTAATTGATTCTGAATATGTTTCATCTGGTTTTATTTCAAATATTTCATTTTTAATACTTCCTAAATAATAATGATATTGTTTATTAATATCATCAATTGGTTGTTGAATATTTTGAAGTGTTTCTATTTCTTCTTTAAAGAAATGAGTGTTCTTATTTATTAACTCATCCATTTTAATTTAATTAATATCAGATTAAAATAAGATGATTAAATACTTAAATACACATTTATAACACATCATTTTATGTATTATTTTATCACTATACTTTATTCATTAAATATCATTTCTTTTTATTATTTTTCAATAACAATATTATGTAATAAAATTAATAATATTGTTATTTGATAATAATTAAAGATTATTTTATACTTTTTAATAAAAAAGAAAATAAG